GTAGTAGTAGTAAACGTAAGTAACGGTAGTAGTAAGTAACGTAGTAGTAGTACGTATATATTCGTCTACTACGTAGTTGTAGTTGTTCTACTATATATATATATATATATATATATATATATATATATATAGATAGGAGAGAGAGAGATCATTACCTATTACCAACTACAGCATGAAGATTGATTATTATCTTCTCCTCTTCAGAAGTAAACCTCCCTCTCCTAATGTCAGGTCTCAAATAATTTATCCACCTCAACCTACAACTTTTGCCACACCTTTGAAGCCCTGCACCAAAGAATGCATTTAATGAAACTAAAGTTGCATAAATATAGTCATAAATGCAAACATGCACAAATTAAACTCTTCAATTTCTCAATCCTCACTAACAACATGAGATCTCTCAATTGTTATTTTTAAGTTGCAATGTAACTAAAAAGTATAATATTTTTTTTTTAAGCGATACTAACTAAAAAGTATTATAGTTTTTATTTTTTATTCTTTTTCATTGTCAAAAATAAAAAATAAAAAACTAAAAGGTATTATACTTATGCAAGACCCTGTATGCTCCCTTAGTGCGTTGAATTCATTTAAAGTTTGCAACTCAGATCTTTTTTCAATGATTTCCTTCTTTGACTTATTTGTACGGCCTTTATCATTTTATTTTCAGTAATACAATAATAATTTTAAAGTATCCCAATCTTTTATTGTTTTTATGCAAACCACGCATTAAACATATATTATTTTTTGTTATTGTCTCCTGGTAGGATTAGATTAGCATGGTCAACAGGTTAAAACAAAATTCAAGACTGCAAGTTCAGAAACCCGAACATTTATACTATAAAAACTCCATTATCTTCCCCAAAATGGCACATTGAAGCACTCTTTCCCATTTATGTTTCTTCCATTTTGTTTTCATTTTCCTTGCCACAAATTTTGCCTATCTAAATTTATTTACTATTGAATCACTTGTGAATCATGGATCATAATTTCTTACATAATGTGATGTGTGACATAGAAAGGATACAGGGAAATTTACCAAATGGACCTAAAAAATGAACTATTTAATATTTCATGCGTTTTATTTAATTTAAAAAATCCCATGAAAAATAAGTTAGATGTATTTTGATAAATTTTCTTACAATATATGCACAATAAAATGTTTAAACAGGTTTCTCTATTTTCTTTTTTTTCTTTCTTTGAGCTATTGTGAAACCTTGCATAAGGCACCAAGCCACCAAATTTTGCCAGTGGTTAGGCCTGAGCATGGGGTTGTTGTCAGTCGAGTGAACTACTCAGGTTGGGTAATCGGCCCATGCCCGAGCCATGTACTCAGCCCGAGTCCGAGTTGGACCAAGTACTATAGTAGAAAAAAGTTTTAAAAAATGCAAAAAATAAAAAATATATGTTCAAAGTAAGATTAAACAAAACATATATAAATGAGAGGATAAACTTGTGACCGGAGGTATTTTTGAAATAATCTAAAAAAGATGGGAAATATGTAAAAATGAGTATTCATGGCTAAAATACTTTCTAATCTACCAAAATAATAGAACACATAAATAAACATGTTATAAATAGATTTCATTTTTTTTTTGAATTTTTTTATAGTTTTTCAAATTTTTTTAAGATCTCCGACAACAAAAGGATACTAAGCTCGCCAAAGCGGCCAGCCCGCGTTACCCCGGCGAGTCCGAACACCTACCTGAATAACTCCGTGTTTGACTCCCGGAGTAGTCAAACACTGGCATTTGTGACATTGCCATCAACTGGTGCATCTTTGCGTATTTTGCTCATGGATGATCTCAACCACCCATTTTAATATCAATTTCCAATCGCTGATATTTTTCACGTGTACAGCATGATACATGAGAAGATCACCCCAAATAGCCGAAATACCTCTAATTCACCATGAAATGAAAAAAAGCGAGCCAAACTTCTGGCAAATAGTGCTTGTACGGCCTTTTGTCTCATTAATTTTCAAATATTATAATTCTATCCTTGCATCGGTTTTTTATTTTTATTTCCTTTTCTTGGCCCTTTTTTGTTTTTTCTATATTTGAATAACTTTTTGTCGATGAGTCATATGAGTATTTCACCTCTGACTTCACTGGAGTAATTTCATGTTTTTTTTTCCCTTTTTGGCCATTATGATTATTTTTTAAAGGAAATAGAGAATATGGTGTTTAATTTGAGATTTGAAAAAAAACCTTGTAAGTGATGGGATTTTAAAAAGAAAAAATATATAATGAAGTCATTTGTCTTTGGTACAAAGTGTTCATAATTAATTTTGATCATTGGATGTCTTTAGTACAAAGCGTTCACAATTAATCTTGATCATTGATGTGATATTTGATAGTTGCATTTATGTCATTGACCAAATTCAAAGATCAAAATAATTTTTTTAAACTTTGTGATACACTCAAACCATACGATTTCACATCGGATTGTTGTAAATACTTCATTGCATACACTAAAAAAAAAAGGACCCTTGAGATGCTGAAAAGACTGGAGAGGGAGAACAGATATAGGAGAGAGAGAGGCCACAAAGAGAGGAGAGAGAAAAGAAGCTTGAGAGAAGACATGAGGGGATTTTTATCGGCAACTATCGACTTCAATTGCGTCACACAACACAGAGTTTTACCCCTCCCCATTTAAAGAATTTACCTAAGTTTTTCCATAAAAGAATGAAACATACTTTTCATGTTTCATAACACCCTTCTTTCGAGATTTTCTCTCTTCCACAATCTGTTCAAACCTGGATTGTTTCAGTGCACCAGCCATGGCTCAAAAGACCGAACCCATCTCCCTTAATTTTCTACAGCGAAAAACTGCAATGGGGAACGAAGGACTGAGAGAGAGAGAGATACCTGCTTTTTCAGGGACTTCACTCCAGCAGCCATAGCCGTTGCTCGTTATGTAACGGACGAGCTTCTCGTCTTCCTCAGGCGACCACAGCCCTCGCTTCACTTTCTGCTGATTGCAGCACGAGTGGTGCCCCATTTGAAGAGAGAGAAAAGCGGCACCTCTCTCTCTCTCTCTCTCTCTTTCTCTGCCGCTACGTCTACAGCACAAACTTCTCACTCTCTCTCGTTCTTTGGTAGATGAAGCGGACCAGTACGTCGAAACCACAAACTTCTCTCTCTCGTTGTATGCTCGCAGAGAAAGATCGAGCGCTCTGCAGCGTCTAAAACACAAACTTCTCTCTCTCTCTCTTGGTATGCACAGAGGGAAAGAGGAGGGGAGCTCTTGCTCTTAAACAACAACGTTGGCCATCAGAGCCCGACAGGTTCACCGGGATGGGGCCCGCTATTCTATCTAACAGTACAAGGACGGGCCAACGATTCATATCTCTCTCTCTCTCTCTCGCTCTTTCTCTCTCTACCTATCCCTTTCTTTGTCTAGTTTTACGTTTGTGGTACTACGTACGAGTCTGTATTCACGTAAGTAGCGACCGCTGCCTCATTTTCTCTCTCTCTCTCTCTCTTCTTTCCATCCCACATCGTATCTCCGTACCACCTTCCGATATAAAGCCCTGGTGGGCCCCCAAAATATCGGGAGTGCCCCTGGAGCCTGAAATTTTTACGTATGGAGGAGAATCATGACTTACATGGTAGGCCTTTTAGGGTTCGTGTTGAAAACTTTTTATTTTATTTAATTTAATTTTTTTTTTTTTTTTCAGTAAAAAGAGAGACGTAGTTTCTTCGTTCAACGACTTTCTCGTCCCGTCCTGCCATACCTTCAATTTCCAAATCTTAAACACCACCCCTCTCTCTCTCTCTCTCTCTCTCTCACTAATTCAGTCTAATTTTTATTTAATATGATTGAGAGTATTAGTAGTATTAACATTGTATTTTGCTTCATTTCAAGTTCAATACATTAGTGGCCTCTCCCTCTATCTGGATAACTTAATTCTCTCTCTTATAGACCCCAAAAATTCTCAGATTAACTTATGGGGTATGTACTAATTGCTTCATTAAACTCGTTAACTTAAATGTTTCTCACTCCCTTCACAAAGAGCTCTCTCTCACAGCGGAGAGAAAACACAGAGATCCCAGTAACTCTCTCTAAAAGTGTCAATAAAGCTGTCCTGTCTCGATCGTTGCTTAGTTTTTTTCTCCTTTATCCACTTCTTACCGCTTTCATGGTTTTCCGTGCCTTGCACAAAAGAACAACTGGTCTTACTAATTCTTTATGCCCTCTCAACCCACAGCCCACTGTCATAACCAGCGGCCAGGATTAATATCCTCGTCAGCGTTCACGGTCCAGATATCCCATAGGAATCTCGCTTCTGAGCAATACAGACCGTTGATTCAGCTCATAGCCCAGTTTCCATATAGAATGATTTTGTGCACACCCTTTTCTACCAACGGTCCAGATACCCCTATGAGAATCGGTACATCCAATCTTGGCCGCCCATTCGAGTTCAAAAACGTAAAAGAAGAGGTTCTAGATGGGTTCTCGAAAATCTAACTATTTTTAGGGAAAAATCTTTATATAAAGTCGCAACTTTATACTGTCAAAGTAAAGCCTACCTAAAAAAAGAGCCCGGGCGTAATTGGTCAGCAGTTGATTTCCAACGTTATATCCTAGACTCGATTTTTATCAAAGATAGGGGCCCTCTCCGCCTAGGATCATCTCGACCTTGAAATGCATGGATATGAAGAAAAAAATAAATTTCAAGTACTTAACAGCCTATATCTTATAACAAGTTATCTGCACAGTTTATTTTCAAGATTTTTCAATGTAAATAGATAAGCTTGATCCGTATTACTTTTAAAAGTTTAACCTTAACTACTAAGAATAAAAATAGATTTACAAAGTTTTCAACACCTTCCGTCTTTTAGAGACTCCTTACAAACCTCAACCTTACGTTTTGGAAGTGCACTATAAGGACGACGAAATACCTGAGGGATGTTAATGATATTTAAGATTGAATGCAAGGGTGTTTACGTTGATACTTTCTACTACGACCCATGACATGCTCCCCTTCCTCCTCTAAAGAAACATTCGGTATTTCATTCCCCAGAAGATCTTGTAATTTACGAAATCGTCCAATATCTAGGTGAATGAAAACCTTTACTATTTTATTTTATTGTTGAAGGGTCCATTATCAGTATCTGAGCTATATTGTTTCCCCATTTTTTCTCTCTAATTGCCAAGGAAATTTATACTTTCCACATTTTCTCTCCCTAATCCCTAATCCCCATAGGTGAGCCGACGATCTATGGTCTCCTCTAATGCCTTTTTCCTTTTTTTGGGAACAATGGCCTTTCTCTTATTAGAACGAAAAAGAGAAAAATACAGCCTTATTGTTTCAATTGACTGTTATTACGTTATGTCTGTCCGTCTTGATTTTTTTATATTTTTTTTAGTTTGTTTCAGGTCTGATGTTTTAAACATCGGATTTCGTATTAATTTTTTATTTTATGACCACGTTAAACCATCAAAATTGTGGTTTAAATATCGGACTGCTAGGTCTAAATATCGAACTGTTGTAAACCTTCAAAAAAATAATGTTTAAATGCAGTCCGATGTTAGAAACAGCATACCGTCTTAAACTTTCAAAAAATGAGATCTAAATGTAGTTCTATGTTAGAAACATTTGCCTTAAATTTTCAACAAAATAAAGTTTAAATGGGCAATTGATTGATGTTACCAAGCTGTTGATGATTAAAAAATCGGGCTAGGGGTAAATTTGTCAAAAAATAAAAATTTTCAGAGGGGCTGTCCTTCCAAATAATAACCCTTTATTTTGGGTCCTTTTTGTTATAACGGTTTAAGAAATCAGAACAGACGTGAATTTTTGAAGAAGAACTTTAATGAGGGCACATTTGGCATTGCCCTAATAATGGTGTGTATGCTTGTGATGCCATTGTTAATATGTATGAGAGAGAGAAAGAGAAGCTGAGAATGGGCAAATGGGACACAGAAAGAAGAGAGAGAAGAGGGAACGTACGGATAGATACATGCAGGGTAGAGAGAGAGCTTAAAGACTAGGAGAGCCATTTTTCTATAGTTTGAGAGAGAGACAAGAAGAATATTTTTCTATACTTTGAGACTGAGAGAGAGAGTCAAGAATCATGTTTCTATAATTTGAGGGACCCAGTTTCTATGCGGCCGAGCCCACATATGTAGAAATACAGGTCGAAATGCGGGCTTATTAATAAATCTATTTTTTAGATGTATTTTGGACTTAATTTTTGTTAGGATATATAATCTTTAACGCAGAGATCATGAATATAAAAAAAATAAGCAAATTTTAAAAACTAGAAATAATAATTATAGTAAAAAAAAATTTGGACCATTAGTTTCTACTGTTTTTAGATAAAACACCTCCTTGCATCTATTTTTAAGATGGATGCTTTATATTTTCTTGACCGCATACGCAGTCATGAGGTCCAGCCCGCATGAAACAATTTTTTTAATTTGGGAGGGAAAATTTATTTATTTTTAGCATTGAAAGAGAGAGTTCATAGTCTATATGCCTAGGAGTCTTCCATAGTTTGAGAGAGCAAAAGAGGGAGAGAGTTAGAGAGAGAGAGAGAGAAGGGGGGTTTGTTGATTGACACTAATCCTTCACCGCACATTGATGTGAGGTCGTTGCTTGGATGAATAGCAAACAAAATTAGAAAAAAGGAATAAAGGGAGAGAGAGAGGGAGATTGTGGAAAGGAGGAATGATTAGACTTCGCTTTAGGGAGGAGCAAGGGAGGATTAGGGGCCTACCACGAGAGAAAATGGAATGTTTGATTAAAAGCATGGTTGGTTCAAGTTATAATCGGAGATGGAATGTCCTCACCACACGGCCCCCTTGTTTCATATGTTCTTTCTCACTCATCCCATTCCTTTTCCTATTCCTACTTAATCATATTTCCATTGATAGCAACCTATCCTAGTCTATAAGAGGAATCATTTCCCAACCCCGATATCACTTTAGGCCCTCAACTCTCTCTCTCGGCTCGCTCATTAACTTCCCCTCACAAATCTTTGGAGTTTAGACTAAGCTCATTCATAACCATCTGCCCCCCCTCTCTCTCTATCCAACTATTTTACTCTACGCTCACCCTTTCAACTCCCCTAAAAAAATCTCTACAGCTTAGACTAAGCTCATTCATTACCAAACTCAGGCTGTCCAAATCGGAACCGCCTGGTCAGATAAGAATCGAGCACTGGCCAAACTAGTTTTAACCGGTTTTGGTGGTCCAGCCAGTCATGCATTTTTTAATTTTTTTAAAAAAAGAACAAATCAAATTTCATTAAAAAAAAAAAAGGAGATTTGTTTGTAACCTTTTTTAGTGTTTTTTTTATCATGTCCACAAAGATTGCAAAGTGTTTTGGTCTTAGAATATTTATTTTTACATCTTTTTTTATAAAATTTCTAAAATACCCTTAAACACAAATCGAGTTTTTAAAATCCCTTTTTTTTTTTTTTTTTTACTACTTTTCAACTTCATTTGGATGTATTTTGTTTAATCATGCTTTAAATATATTTTTTTGGATTTTTGTATTTTTTTAACACGTTTTGGACTAGCAAAGACCTGCTCGGATAGGCCAGTTGAACTTGCCGATTTACCAATTACTCGGACCCAACCCTTGGCCAGTTTTCAAGGCTAGTCCAAATTTTCAAACAACGTTGTTCATTACAATCTGTCTCTCACACAAAAATCTTTAAGAGTTTAAACTAAGCTCATTCATTACAACCTCTCTCTCTCAAAAATCTTTAGAGTTTAGACTAAGCTCATTCATTACACTCTCTCGTCACGTGCGACCATCTACCTCACAATCATTTGTCAGCTGTAGGCATAAGGGCGCTCATGTCTTTATTTATCAGCTCAACCGTATGCATGTGTAGAGTTTTAAAGATAGCTTATGAAGAATGCGGCTTAGATTTTTGTTCAAGTCTGCTTTAATTGCACTTTCCATGAACCCACAATAATGATAGCTTTGCTGGGAAATAGTTATGCGGATTTAGCTGGGAAATTGTTATGCGGATTTTACTGCTTGATTTAAGAGAAGAGCATGATTACATACAATAATGGGGGTCAGCTCGTCCCGGTGTCATTGATCCTCTTTGTTATTCTGGGTCATGCACTTCTTTGGTTAAAAGACATTTCCAATTATTTCCTACTGACGGTTGGACCCCAGAAGGATTCCTCTATCATTGCTCTCTCTCTCTCTCTCTCTCTCTAAAACAAGAATATACCTCTTGACAGGTCTCTCTCCTTCTATCTATTACACAAACAAGCAAATGCCACTAGACAATCAATCTCTCTCTCTGTCCCTCTCCCTCTAAACCAAGCAAATTCTAAGTCTCTCCACACATTTACCCCTCTCTGTTTGTGCACGTATGCAAGCTTGTGTGTCCGTATGTGTGTAACATGCCAACACGATCGTCAAAAAAACATGACGTAAATTTCTTCGGAAACCATGTAGATTATCTCATTACAAGGGGCACGTATTCTTTCTCAAAACAAACAAAGCATAATAAATGTGGAGGTTCCATCCAAAAAATTACATCAAACACCTACTACTGCACATTAATCACAAGGGATTCAAATTTCCTCAGAAACCATGTAGATTATCTCATTACAAGGGGCACGTATTCTTTCTCAAAACAAACAAACTATAATAAATGTGGAGGTTCCATCCTACAAATTACATCAAACACCTACTACTGCACGTTAATCACAAGGATTCAAATAAAGCGTGTACGTATAATTAAGGATTCTTTTTCTTACCCTGTAAACCACGGCTAGGCCTCAATATTTGCTTTAGCAGAGCCATTTTAGGAACGTTCCAATGCTCCACATGCCTGAAATTTCAAGTTATCTATAAAAGGAAAAAGTAAAGAAATTTAAACTTCATCAAATTGAAGCCTCACCTGCAAACCCTTCCACTTTGAGCGTTGAAATAGTACTCTGTGTATCCAGTAGCTGTGTAACCATCACACAAGAATGATGTCACTGTGATAAATGAAATACTACTCAAAGTTTTTCTTTCATGATGATCATTTGTTTAACTATAAGGATTTTGCAAACATGCTTTACATTGATTAAGTGTTTTGTTTGGTGTGCTCAAAATCTATCTACTAAAGTACCCCTGCCATAAAATGCAAATCACCTTTAGAGAAGGGTTAGTGCTTGAACTAACCAAAGAAAAGAAGGGTCGGTGCTTGCATTAACAATGATAAAACATGATAACAGGGTTGGGGTGAGTTTTGTATTTGTCCTTGCATTAACAATGATAAAACATGATAACAGGGTTGGGGTGAGTTTTGTATTTGTCCTTGCATTAACAATGATAAAACATGATAACAGGGTTGGGGTGAGTTTTGTATTTGTCCTTGGCAAATTACAAATGGGTCCTTGCCCAAAACCTAATGTGCCTTGGTCATTGGGCTACAGGACATCTGAAAAATTAATCAACCTTAATTGGTTGAGCGCTTTCTTGCTAAGGCTCTTTTAGTCTCTTGTGCGCTACAGGGGTACTTGATAATGTTGATTAAAATAGAAGCAGATAGTTTTCAATACAGACTCGGGAAAGTTTTGGCTTGGGTTAACAAAGTTAGCCTAACCAAATGTGAATTATTTCAGTAAGATCCCCGTACTTAATTCTCCCAAATGGTATTCAATGTTGTTTTGAACTTGCCAGATAGGATGGGCTGCCAAGGAAAAGTCATGACACAGCTGAACCGCCAATGGCCAATTCCTTTATCCTGCACTCAATACTTCATTTAATACAAACCAAAAAGTGACGTAACTTAAGAAGCAAAACCTCAGAATAGTAATGCATTTCAAGCAACCCTAACCCCAACTTCCCCATCTCCAAGAAAAGAAAAAGAATAAGACCCAATTCATAATGGCCATTCATTTGTTTTACACAAGAACAAACATGGATCTACCTCCAGGTCCTCCCACTTAGTGAGTTTCATGTCAGACTTTTCAAGCAGAGACCCAAAGTTTGAGCAATTTCGCTTGAAGCGCCGGAGGCCTCTGAAAGAACCAGCTGGATCCGCAAATTCACAATCCTCTTCATAAACATTGAGAGTGAGATTTCCTGAAATAGAAAATATGTATTGATGTATACTTAAATGAGAGGATTAAATGCCCGCATATAATAAACATTTTAAAACAATTTTACATAAAAAATCATATTACATAGTCACAAGGCAGGTTTAATAGATTCAAGCAGCCAAGAACACATAGGAATCACAAGGATGACCAATTTATGTGACTCAAGTGAGGAAGACTTTACAAGCAAATATTTTCCGGACCAAAGATGACCCAAAGACAACAAACCAGGAAAAATGAAGTGGACTTTAGTTTTTGGAAAGCATCCTATACTCCAATAGAACAAGAGGACCTATATTTCTTTTCATGATGGGCAGCAAATGTTGAGAGAGTGGGACTGACCATTGAGGTCTCATCCTCTTCTGCTGTGTCCATTTTCTCACCATCACTGTCCATCATTTCCTCAGATGGTGATGACCCCAATGGGCCATAGTCAATTAGACAATAGTATACTTCCCATTTGTTTCTTCTTCAAAGGATGTTAGAAAACACACACACACATTGCAGACACACAAGAAGCATCCTTAGCATGGGACAATGCTTTGGCTACAACCTAATGAGAAGGAAGATCAGAGAACATCCAAAATGATAATAAATATGAAGCATTGCCAGAAGTTTGAAGCGCTGAACAAGTAATATTTCCTCCAAAATATTTGTTCCAAAGGATTTGAAACATGTGAATGCCTTTGAGAATGATATTTGCCAGATGGATTCTCTTGGCTCTCACCAGAGGTAGAAAAATATGTTTGAGATAATTGAGTGGCTGCTGACAAGAACTCGTTGACTCTATATGAATTCTTATATCATTTAATTTATCTGTCTTTTTGGCCAACCACCATGGCTCCATAACAACATTCCCAAACCAAGGTCAAGTAATCACCAGCAGAATGCGAACATAGCACATAGATTAGCTTAACTCTGGATAAAATTCCTCAACCTGAAAGTAGCACTACTACAGCTATCTGCTTGGATTTAAATACTTAAGACAAATTCAATGTAAATATAATGGAAGATGTTCTCAGGCATGTGCAGTTACACATAAAACTATGGGGCAGCACCTGATTTACCCATTTTCTGAAAGGGTGAGGACCCAAAAATATCCAAAATCTCTCCCCCAATCCAAATCCTATTCTTTTATTTTTCTTTTTTGGTTGGTGATGGGGTATGATTTTGAGCTATTTAAGATCTTTTTTATGTCGTTGAACATTATAAATGGAGAATGAGGTGTCATTGCACCTGTTTATAGTGCAGGACCAGATGCATCATAAATGGATTGTGTTGAATACGCTTTTGGAGCACACTTCAGTTTGGCCATGGCAGAAAAGCACTTCAATGCTTCATTGGATTCAGGGGATGTCTATAGGCATCACCATCGTTGTCGTCATCATCATCATCATAATAAGAATAGTAATAATATAATAATAACAATATCAAAACATTTATAATAATAATAACAACAACGACAATTCAACAACAACAATAATATATATATAAATAATAAAAGAAAGCGGATTAATACTATTCATAGAGTAGTAAATATTTTAATATTGATTATGCGATATTGTAATTTAAATAATTGTTTCAAAGTTATACTTTTTAAGGAGATTACTTCTGTAAATTTTTATGCTATGAATGTATGCCCAAGCCTCAAGATAAGTTTCCACATTTAAATTTTACTATCCATATCAATCTTATCAATAGTCATGAAATCGGTTTTCCTTGACCATCATTACTTGCTCAAAGCGACTTAACTTTAATAGCACTCATTTTTTGGAGTAACTTATGAGTGCCCTGTTTTACTTATAGTTGCTCGTTTTATTAAGTATAAATTTAATTTCAAAGTTCAAATGTACCCAAATTATATTCAATAAATCAACAATATGCTAGAGTTTCCTTTTGAAATTCCAAACGCGATATCATGCCAAAGATATTATTCTGTAACCACAATGATCCTAAAAAACTGCAAGAATTACCCCAATATTTCCATGAACCATTGTCCTACATGCTTCTGTTGAATGGTTCTTCATTTTAGTTTAGGGGCCAAGGTGAAGCAAATTGAACAATATTGCATAAAACTCTCTGAAAAGTGTGGCTAGAAAAATTGAAGGCAAATCCATTGTGTTTGATTCAGGACTTGGAATTTGGATCCACAACTATAAAAATATCAGTAACATAGGCTCTGTATTAACAGAAGAGGAGCTACATGGGAGTAAAACAAAGACAATGAAAAATTGGAAATAACCTTAGAAAATGTAGGTAACTCAACCGTGGTAGTAGGCTGAATATTTATCAATTGACTACCACATTGCTGATTGTATCCTTTGAGAACAAGAAACAACTTCTCACATTCAATTCTCCCATGCAAGTTGATATGGACCATCTAGCCTACGGACCATCTAGCCCAGTAAATTCATCTCATATGTCCAAAAAATAATCGAGCAAATATGACTCTGCTGAAGTGCATTGAACATTAAGTCTGCCCTCTTATTGGTTAGAGAGTGAAAACCACAAAGTTATGAGCGGTTCAATCCCAAATTACCCCATCCTCAAAGAAAACGTACATCAAACACAATTTGCAAGCCATGTGATCAAGCATATGAGACTCAGAGTTATATGTGTTCTTCACCACCAAGTGTAAACTCCAATTAAAATTCTGTTTGAAAGAGAGAAAATTCAATGAAAAGCATAAAGCAATCAACGAGATAATGAAAGCAAAACTCCACAAAGCACAAGAGGAACCATAACACTCATTAATAGCAAGACAAAGAAGCCCAAAGTCATAGTTGGCAACAATCAAAGATGGTCTCGCTGTGAATAGCCAAAAAAGTGCCATATGATGCCTCAGGAGATTGGGGAGACAAGGCTCAAGAGAGGGAAAAATACAATACAGTGGCACATGGCCAAGTGAGACAGCTTGTGTGGTAAGGAAGCTGACTAATTAAAATATAAATGTTCTTAACAAGCATGTTGCTTTCTTTTAGAAGCCCTCACTGAGGGTGGAATGAATACTAATCAAGAATTCCATGACGCTCCTTTATCTGCCACCAATGTTTAAGTTAAACTACCTCATCAATATACTCAAACTTCGGGAAAAGGACAGAAACTCATGTTTATTCATACACATGTTAAACCAAGTTAAGATGACCACAGTAATAATTCTCCAAAAAGTTTAATATAATATCAAAAGAAAGCAATAGAGTGAACATAGAAGGGGAATGCAGGGTCGTACACAAGATTGGTGCACTTTTATTAGTTGAAGATTAAAAGCGTCTCAGAAAAAGAAAGACATGTACACTCACTTGACTAATACTTTAAAGCTGGAGTAGATGTCATCTCATCAAGAAGAAAATTGTAGTACACAACCATAAAACAATTAGGTAAGGGAATATTATTATTCAGGAGTTTCTAACTGTTAAACTTAAACCATGAATCTGTAGTAAGGTTTAATTCCTGAGATTTAGGGCGAATTTGAATGCCACCCATAACACGTGCCAGAAACATTCTGGGCGGCCTTTTAGTTAAAGCCAAGTATCATGACTTCCTTGGAAGCCAATTTTTATACCTGTTAAGGTGTGCAAGCACAGAACGAAGGCTGCCCTTTCATGTGTGTAAAAAATAAAATAAAAAAAGCCGAGCATCATTGACTTCCTTGGAAGCCAATTTTTATACCTGTTTAGGTATGCAAGCACAGAAGGAAGGCTGCTCCTTTATGTGTGTAAAAAATAAAATAATATAAAAAAATAAAGTAAACTAAACTAAACACAGAAGAGGGGCTTTTTTACAGAACTCATTACAGAAACTGACATACATGTGCAGCTGGCAAACAAGCCATTAGTTAATAAATTTATATTGGAATATGATGAGATACTAGGCAAATTACTATTCCTTATTTCTCTCGTCCAATTACAGAATAACAAAGAGGCATCCATCAAATGCCTGTTATGCGCCCATCTACTAATTGTGCTATGCTGGTATCATGTGATGGCTAAATCCAACACTTTCCTATTATTTTTTACATGCCAATGTAATTTACTATACTTCCCTTTCCTGATTTACACATCTCAAGAAAATACTAATGACCAAACTCATAATTTTTGTACCTTCTATGCTTTTTACAAGCTTATACTCAAACAAATTCCCAATCTACATTTAGAACGCACGCTCAATACACAACTACTGTACAAAATGTCGAAACAGTGATTACATTTTTTGGTCTTCTGTGAAACAAAGGGCGTTCCTAGCAAAACAAGAAAACCATTTGTAAATCACCATAACATGGCAAGTACACATTTAAGCAAATACTAAAGAAGATTAGTACATAGCAAATAATTTATTTCATAGACTCCTATGAATTATAAATTAGAAAGAATAGTTGTCTTGGATTTGACAGCATAAGTGCAAGTGCTATATCAGGTAGTTGTAAGAAATACTATGCTCCACTGGACCAATCACTGGGTCCTATTTCATTGAATTATCCCATATTTTCTATGAGATATACTCTCAAAATTAGTTCCTGAGAATTATCAACAGGATGTAACACTTAGTCAAGATGCATTAAAAAAAAAAAGGACCAAAAAATCTCAAGATACACAAGTAATTCACCTGAAACTAAGAGCAATGAAGTTTTTGGTGATACAGGACACAAATTATGACTTGCAATTCATATAAATCTCACAAATGCCAATAAAACAGAAAAACCCAAAAGACGAGATTTGAACAATAAACAATGAGTCAATGAAACTCTCTCTAAAACCAATGGTAATCACTCAAACTGCACCAATTTGAGGTGATGTGAAACCTTCCAAAAACAATAAATGCTACAGGAAAGTGAGATCACATATCCTAGTAGTTTTCTCACATAAACATCTTCCCTCAAAGGATGAAAAGAAATTTACCATCAAGTAAAGTAAAATCCGTGTCTCCATAGTAAAACAATTATGGTAGCCAGACCCAAAATAGAAAAGGGAAAGGAATAAAGAGTATCTATTACATGCTTTTCTATTAATCAGTGCCATACTGATATGGGGAATCTCACATTACATTGTTGAAGTAAAAATACTGAAAGTCAAGTATCCAGCTATGCCACCCAACAAATTGCTGACCCAAATGCAAATCTGCAATACCTCAAGTTGCTTGGCTCTAAAAGGCTGACTTCTTCCATGGCTTGTCAGTAGCATATTTACAACACTAAAGAATGAATAGTTTTGGAATCATTGTGACCAGTGATAGTGCTAGGAAAATCTATAATAGTCAGCCAATGGTATAGTGCGAGAAATCAGCCACGTACTCGACTCTGGCCTGAGCCAAGCTACTCCTTCGAGTTCAATTGCTCGGTCAAGTACTGTACACATACATAAAAATTAATAAAAAAATCCAAAAAATGAAAAAAAAAACAGAAAACCCCATTTCAAAACATGTGGAGCCACTGCTTGCCTCGATGTCCCCTTGTACACATAGGTAAAAATAAAAAAAATCCAAAAAGTGAAACAAATAAGAGGAAACCTTTCTAAACACATGCATTGCCTCCAGCTGTTGCCTCGATGTTTTCACTCTCGTGCTTATCATGTCCCTCTTTCTCTCTTCTCCGAGCTTAGTAGCAGTGGTGTTTCTCTGTGGAAGGAGGGAAGATAGGAATATGCAAAGAGGAAGAGAGAGCTATGCAGAAGAAGAAGGAAGAGGAAGGAAGGGAAGATAGGAAGATGAAAAGAGGAAGAGAGAGACTGCCAATCTGCTGCTGTTTTATTTGCCGATTACTATGTGAGTTTCTTGGTCAAAATAAGGCCGTCCATAAAAAATGGCACTGGCTGTCTGGCTTTTTATAATCAAGTGCCCTGAATCCTGCATTGGTTGTTGATTTCTTGTGAATTTTTACCAGGAATCAGGGTGAAAGAATCTGTTCTCACCAAAATTTCAGAACCCCTCTCCTTCTCTACCTCGTTTTTTTCCCTGATTTTGGCCAGATAATAGCATATCGATTAGAACCCAGAAGATAGAAATAGTGAATCTATGACCAACAAAGATTGATGGGCAAGAAAGTTCTCTTAATTCTTGCCAAAGTTTGGGAATGCCAATCACAAATAATGCCGGAAAAGGGAATATGGGGTAGAAATGGTAATTAAAAATCACCAGAAAAAAGATTCAGGTGATCAGAAAGTGGTTGGAAAACGAGAAAAAACCAAGCATTGCATGAGAGCTATTTTTTTTTAGATTTCTATTTTTTTAGATTTTTTAATATTTTTTTAATTTTCTTGGGAATTTTTGGTGGTGCAACTCGCCTTGCCACTAGGGCGAGGCTGAGTTACTCACCCAAGTCCAAGTGAACTCAACTGAGTCCCAGTACACTACTGAGATGTTTCGTCATCTTCACAAAAATCCATAGGTTTTTAAGCAAGGTAATGGATTCTTAAGTACAACATGTCTAGTTCTAGTTCATAATCAACAAAGTAGTAAAACTCTTAGATAAATTGGGCAATGAAGGTGATCAGCTAATCAAAAGCAGAATGAGAACATGTCTGGAAAATCTCAAGGAAAAGGCCGAGAAATGTAATGGGAGAATGAAATGGAATCATGTTGGAAAACATCATGAAAAATGTATGGGATACAGGAAATGTGTTCCCCATGGTAAAAAAGTATGAGTGAATTACAACAGTGTCAAGTAGAAAGTACTTCACTCCAACTTCAGCAACCGAACAAAGTGATTTTGTCTAGTAGAAAGTGCTTGATGAGTCAAATGTGAACGAGGAGACCAAACAAAAAAGAAAGGGCAAAAAATAGTAAGGAAATACAAAGAAAAATCAAAAGCTAAACATTCAATAGCATGTTGATCCTCACATAGAACAAAGATTATCATATCAATCAACTAGATACAAAACTCCTCAAAGTGAGAGGCGTACGATAACGCTCATCAAGACACAGAAGTCTACAAGTCAAAGTGCAAGACAAGCTAAGATACTTCTACCCATGGTTGTTAGGAGCAGAAGCGGATTGAGAGGGTGGGATCGTTGCTTCCCAAAAGCTCCCTGATTGGGAAGCACCAATGCAATAAATGTTAAAAAGAAATATATAAATATCTAAAATATGATAAACTCCAAAAGATAACCAAAGTATTTCAAGTTTTCATTTAAAGTTTGTCTAGAAATGAAGCCCATCGATAACCAAAGTATTTTGGGTTATCATTTAAAGTTTGTCTAGAAATGATGCCCCTTCCTTCAAACTCAAAACGTTTACATTGTGATACATTTTGTAGGCCCCACAATAACACCCCAAAGGACAAATCAGGCTCTTCCTTACTGACTTAAGTTGAACGAGCTCCCCAAAAACTAGGGAACACTTTCAAGAAAGAAATGGAATGAATTCTGGCTCCCTAACCACGAAACACGTGTTCTAGGAGCTGTAGTTCCACCTTGCATAGTAGATCCTAGTAACTATGGCCCAGACATGAATAATACCAAAGCGCATCAATATGATGAGTCAGGAGAGGGGGGAGAGACAAGGGATGGAAGCTCATATCAGAAAAGCACTACCATGCAATGAAAAACTCCAAGAAATGGGAAAATAAGTAGCATGAAATTTCCTAGATTTAAAGAGAACACATCATACTTCTTTCCAGAGCACATCGAAAAGGAAATAAGTTTATCCATTTGAGTTTTGACTTCTATGTGGATAAACAACCGCTTTCAATTAGGGGATGGGCTTAACAAAGTCAATCCTAACAATTTCCATAAATTTTGTCTATTTCATCAAATAAATTAGAGAAAATAACGGTGCAACGCAGAGTTCCTACATTGGCAACCAAAAAAACTAAACTTTTCTTGCAGAAAATTCTTGATGGTCCATTAAGAATGTGGAAAAGTCATCATTTTTTAGGGCAGAATGAGAAGACAAGGGGGAAAAATCCACTTTGAAAGTGTGAAAAGAATAAAAAGATATAGGACTGTAGAGAAATACATCTTGAGATAACAACGTATAGACATTCTCTTAGAGAAACTCAGCTAATCATCATTTTTTACTGTAGAAAAACATCTTGAGATAATGCCAAATAGTTACAATGGCTATAAGAACCCAAAAAGAACCGATCCTTCGAATTCCGATACCAAGTTCCTTGAACATTCTATTAATAATTGTTGCTTTAACCAATTAAATAATAAATGAAAATGTATAACATGAGACAATTTACTTTTGATATACGAAGGTCACAATCATTATTCACCATTGGATGTCAAATCAGGGTGATTGGGGATGTGTCATTGTTGGGCACAACGTCACGAAATAAAATTTCTCTAATGTTATGATACACTTCAATCTATTATATTTCACATCCAATAGCTAAAAATGATTGTGACCTCTTTGTACCAAAAGTAAATGATCTCATACTATACATTCCATAAAAAATAAACAAGCTTTGAGAGACAAAATTGTCAAAGAGTAAAACAAGGTTCATCACTTTCTGTTTTGTAACGCATCCAATTTCTATACAATCTCTCCACTTATGCTAAAAAAACCGTTGCCAACAAGGAGATGGCAGCAAAAACCCAAAAATGAACGGCACAGAAACTGTCTTGGGAACTAGGAGGGTAACACAGCACGAGTGATGAACAGGAGAGCTAGAAGAAAGTTATTGGCAATTGTTTTGGATTGGACCCTATAAATAGCTAAATAAAAACCCTGCAATCTAATGCAAGAAGGTAATCAGTACCATTTTTAATATTCACGTCATGAAATTTATCTCATTGTACTCCCAAAAGGAGCAGAAAATTTTATGTTACCAACCTTCATAGCTTACCACAATTTTCATATTTTCAAGCTGGACATAATTGACACAAAATCAATCGACCAATATGAAATTTGATGATTAAGAAAGTGAGATAGCACCCATTACATTTATTGAATAATTGAGTATAAACAAGAATAACCATCTAGTAACATCAGTGGCGGGTTTCAAGCAAAATTCACACCAGAGAAAAATAATTACAAATAAAAGAATGGATGAAATCATCAAAGGATGGAAATTCATACGAATAACAAACCTTTCAAACAGGGAAAAGGAAATAAGGACACGAACAAACATAAAGCCCTAATCTATTTGGGTATCCTAGTTCCCCATTTTTACTAGAAGGGCCCATCTATAAAGCAAAAGAAATGCAAAACAGAACAAATAAATACAGAAGTAACTTACAGAAAGTAACAGTGAAGAACCATTGATCACATTCTCTAGCTGATTCAAGGTAAAACCTAGCCCAAGCTCAGAATCATTCAAACCTGTAACGAAATAAGACCTCTGAAAATCTTCCTTTATACAATCCACAACTGCTTCTCTGGACAAATTTCCCTCAATATTTCCCGCCAATTCAAGATTACGATCAAAATCCCCATTCTTCGATGGCCGGAAAAATGAAGCAGCAATTCCAATAAGCTCCGATCCATACCAGGCGAGCTGAAGCAAGAGGTTACTCGCTCGTGGATCTCCGCCATCCGAGGAAACTGGTTTTTTAGCTGAGCAAAGTAAGTTGCAGATTTTCCGGTTATATTTCCACTGGAAATTTTTTCCGGGCAGTGCGATGGGGAGGGATGGGTCATTTGAAAGGTGTTGGTGGCGGGAAACGGTTACAAGCGGGAGGTGGAGAGAAGCCATCGCATGATGCGAGAGAGAGAGTCTCAAATTGAATTGGAATTAATTGAAGTGCGGAGATTCTCCCCTCCAGAGATAGCAGAGATGAGTGCATCTGCACGTGACACGTGTAAATAGGACGGAAGGATTCCTTACCGATATAAGGGAAAGCTTTTTATACTTCCCTACAACAAAGAATATCCATGCTTCCCCTACCATCCACCTTTCCAATTTTTGATAAAGAGAGCCACCCACACTTTGATCCTAGATCCGAAAACTCAAAGTATTTTATTTTATTTTTTTTACAAATTGTATAAATATGAAGTTTGGCATGTGCAATCTTCTCATTGGGATACACTTATACAAAATATTAAAAATATTTTTTTGATAAAATATAATGACCATAATACCCTTTGAATCAAAGGTATTTTGGTCATTTTATTTTATCGAAAATATGTTTTTCATCTTTTTTTTACTAGTGTGAGTTTAATAGAGGATTGGACGTACAAAATTTGGTGTTAAAATAGTTTGTAGAAAAAAAATTAAAAATAAAATAGTGTAGAGACGTAAAATTGTGATTGAGGCAATCTTGACCCTCCATTCAAAATAGACGGTTGGATAAGGGGAACTTTTATGTTGTACGGGAAGCATAGAAAGCTTGCCCCCGATATAATACACTTTTTATAACAAAAATAAGTTTGACAAAGAGCACTACTACGGAGTATATTATCTATTTCATCATCATTTTATCCTTTTTCTAATTAATTGGGATCGGCTACATGAATCCTGGTTCTCTATTATGCTCTATTAAAGGTCATATCCTGAATGAGACTATAAATTCTCATATTTTTTAGAACTACTTCCTACTACCTCCTTTTAGGCTTAGCCATTGTCATTTTCAATCCTTCTACTTGAACTAACTCACACCTCCTAACAGGTGTTGTACTTGGTCGGCACTGTACATGGCTATCCTACCTAAGTCTACTCTCTCTCATTTTATCGCCTATTGGCGCCACACTTAATTCCTTTCGAATAAATTCATTTCGAATTATATCCCTTATTGTCTTGCCACACATTCATCTCAACATCATCTTTGATGCACTCCTTCTATGGGTATATTGTTTTTTGTCCGCCCAACATTCTGCCCCAAAGAGCAAAGCTAGTCTCAATGTTGTCCTACAAAGCTTGCCCTTCGGCCTCATTGGTATGCGGCGATCATATAAAATTTCAGTTGCACATCTCAACTTCGCTCACCCAGCTCTAATTCTGTGTACGGATCTTCCTCGATCTCTCAATTTTCCTGGATTATCAACTCAAGATATCGAAAATGCGGTCTTTTTTGCACTTCCTGAATGTCAATTTTAACTATTCCTCGTCTCTATTCCTATTATTACTAAACTTGCACTCCATATACTTTGTCATAGTTCAACTAATTTTTAGAAATGTTAATCCCAAATAATTGAGATAAGATTTGGATGATGATAATGATTAAATAAATACCATCTAAATTTTAGAAAACGAGATATAAGTGGTAGGAAACTCAAGATTTAGTTTTTTTATTTATTTTTAGATTAATAATCTAGTGATTTATAAGGAGTGGCCAAAATTTTAGATTTAAAGATCCTCCCAAGTATGTCTTTTGACCGAGGGAGTAGATGTACAATGTACTCCTACCGGGGCATATGTTACACACTCATAATTTTATCGTATAAGACCAATTATCCAGTATATATAAGTTACACTATCTGTAAGGCACTAAATAAATGTGACAGCTTGGGTGTAAGAAAGTTTGAAAGAAATAAATTTAAACTTTGAGACTAGTCAATGGAACAATGTAATCGTTCAATTTTATCCAATGGTCAAGAATCATCGTAACCTTCATGTACCAAATATAAATGATCTCTTTGTATATTTTTCTAAAGGGAAAAGTTTATATAAACCTGAGGCTCCAAACATTCAAATTAGAGCCTACCTCAAAAATTTTACCAGAAGAGGTTCTTTTGATGCTCAAAGATCCTCAAATTAATCATCTTGACATTAAGAAGCATGGACATGAGGAAAAAAAATGAATTTCAAGTTTTGAAAATAATATATTTTGTAACACATTTTTGAACCGTCAATTTTCAAGATTTTCATAGATCCGCCGATCTGCACTATTTTTTTAAGCTTTAAACTTTAAAAATAAAGACGAAAACATATTGTAAAGTTATCACAAAGATTTTCAGTATTGAAACCATACTTCTCCACACTGTTTGAAGGGGGGCTCTAATTTGATTGTTTGGAGCCTAGACTCTACATAAACGGCACCCCTTTCTAAAATCTTTTATAAATATATTGTATAATGATGTGTGAGTATTAAAGAGTATTTTATATGTGTGCGGTTTGTATAGAGCCGAGGATCTAAATAATCAAAGTAAATAACACCTTCAAATAGTGTCGAGAAATGTAGTTTCAAAAACTGGAAATCTTTGTGATAGCCTTAAAATATATTTCCATCTTTAATTATCAAAATTAAAGATTCAAAAATAGTGTAGATAGAACAGATCAATGGAAACTTGAAAAACTTGAAAATTGACCGTAAAAAAATGCATTACCATATGCACTATTTCTAAAACTTGAAATCTATTTTTTTTTCTTATGTCCATGTATCTTGATGTCGAGATGATCAATTTTAGGATATTTGAGCATCAAAACAACCTCTTAGAGTACAATTTTTTAGGTGGGCTCTAATTTAATTGTTTCGGCTCTATATAAACTTTTTCATTGTTATATTTCATATTTTATACTCGTCCTATTTTTTTGTAGGCATGTATTGAGTTCTATTAATATTTTTATCCTTTATATAGGCTTAAGTATAACTTTTGTGTATCTGTGCTTCTTACTATGATGCATACATAAAATTAAAAATAAATCATTTTAAGGGAAAATATCTCTACAGACTCTATTTTTTAGTTTCATTTCTCCATAGGTCTAAGGTTTTAAAACCTATCTTATGACATAAAGATTCTATCTAGTATATCTTCTAACCCTTGGGTCAACTTTATATTTTTTTATCCCATTTTTTTAACCTAAACAAATTGAAAAAATACACTCTTTCTGAACTCTTCTTTCTCTTCATGTATTCAATCTCCCAAAACCCTCTCTCTTTCTTTCCCCAATTCTCTCTCTCTAGTGTCTCTCACTCTCTATCTTGTGCTTCCCCATATCCTTCTCTCTCCTATTTTCCCCATCTCTCTCTCCCCCATGTTTTTCCAAATCTCTCTCTCTCACTCTCCATTTTACTCAAAGAAGAGCAAATTGAAACATTGATTTTGTTCTATTCCAGTACCAAAACAGAGAGCTTCTTAAGCTTGTCAATGGCTTTTGGGGTGGTGCTACTGATTTGATTGTTACCAATGTTTAGTTGGACTAACGATGAGAAGTTTAAGAGAGTGAGGGGAACAGTTTCTACTAATGGAGTTGTTGGAAAGATCAAGATTGCGTTACCTTGGCTAATCTCCCAACTCCTCTAGTATGCTTCTGTTGATCTGGTTAGAACCCAGGTAAAGCTTTTCTAGTTTTTTTAGCCTAAAGAGAGAAGGAGGCATTGGTCCAGATAGAGAGTTATGCTCCAAATTCAACAATTGAAGTACCATAGATTATTATAGTATAAAGAGGGAAAGGTGAGAGGGATTATAACAACAATTTAATTAGGCACATTCCTCCAAGCCTAGGTGATTTACCTAATTTCGACACATTGAATGTCTCTTATAACAACCTTTTTGGCTATGTCCCCCTTTGCTCTCTCTAAAATTCAACTCAAGTTCATTAAAAGGAAACCTCAAACTAGATGCATATAGTCCATCGGTCCCCTGCTCAATCAACTATGAGCATTGCTTTATTTGTAGTTCACCAACACAGATAGAGAGAGAGGGGTTGGGGAAAAATGGAGAGAGAGAGAGAGAGAGAGAGAGATGAATTTGGGGAAGCACGGGGAGAGAGAAGATGGGAAAATGGAGAGAGGGATTTGGAGAATCATAAGAGAGAGAGTGAGAGGCATGAGGGGAGAGAGAAAGAGTTGGGAAAATAGAGAGAGAGGTTTGGGAGATTTACAAAGAGAGAGAAATCCACAAAGAGAGAGGGGTCTAGCATGTCTTATGTAATTTGTTTGGGCTAAAAGATAGAATACAAATAGATAAATTAATACTGGGGGTTAGAAGATAGGTTTTGGAGCTTTTGGTCTAGGGAGAAATGAATGTTAAAAATAGGATCTGTGGAGATATTTTCCCTAATTTTAAAGTAAATCATCATCATCATCATTTGAACCTTATCTCAACTATTTGGGATTTGGCTACACGAATCATTCTACTCTATCAAGGGTCATTCCCTCAAGAAGGCCACGAGTTTCCCCTATGTTCTTTTGGGCCTTCTCTTTATCATTTTAGAGCCTTTCACTTGAGCCAAATCGCACTTCATAACTAGTATTGTATTACAGCTACAATGCATATGATTGGCCCATCTAAACCTACTTTCCCTCATCTTATCGTATTTTGAAGTTGCACCTATTTATAATTTAAAATAAATATAATAACTATAATTTCTTAATATTTGTAAATATTTTTGTTATTTTGTATACTATTAAATTATTCTTTATATTTTTTTACATATGCTTGATAGTAAAAACTTTCTACCAAAATGGGATCCAAAATTGATGGATACAAAGGAGTAAGGGCGGTATTTTATCACAAGTCGGAAGAAGCACAAGTCATGTTTAGTGATCCATCCAAATTTGGTACAAAAAACGATGATATGCAATTTGTAGTTTGAAGGCAGAGAGAGGAAGATGGGCATTTGAAAGAAAAATATTAATTGTCGTTTCAAAAAAAAAAAAAAAAAAAGTAAGAAAAGGGCAAAAAATAGTTTTAAGAGGCTCCGAAAACACTTGAGAATATTAAAAATAGGCAGTCTAGATAGTGTGTTAGAAGATGAACTTTTTTTTTTTTTAAGTACATTAGCAAAAATGTACTTAAACCAAGAAAGTAAAAACTTTCTTAGAAATCTACTATCTCCTATCTCCTCTCTCTCATCAAGAAAGTCCTTAC